CCATATTCCAACAAAGTTTTTAGGTTTATAACAAAATCTTCAAAAGTTGTACTTTTGAAATTTTCCAAATCAATTTTTGCTTTTCTGAACAAAAATTTTATTTTACAGGGACATTTCCCATTTGTTATCTCCTTGCATAAATGAGTTTCTTCTACACAGACAAATTTATGGTTGAAATAAGCGTGAGAAGAAACATAAATGCCAGGAACAACTTGTGATTCAAGGTGGATTTTCATCAAAAAAAATTGAATCACTAAATTTTTTTTCAAATTGAGTTCATTGGAAGAACTCGGCATTTGTTTAACAGTTTCTGAAAATGAAGACTGTCTATTTGTTTGGCTTGTTCGAATGACATTTATTTCTGCCTCTGGATTCAAAGCCTGTTTTATTTTTGCCATATCGATTGTATCCAATTCAAGAGCTTTATCAGCTTCTTCCTTTGAATAAAAGCCTTTGTATCTAGGATTTTGTATTCCTTCCTTGGCAGTGCACAAGTCAGTGAAATTTGTATATACCCCTTTGTATGGTCCTGATAAAAGGACAAAATTTGTATAACCTTTTCCCGAAGGAGAGGCCTTTGTGAGGAGTGGTACTCCTTGATTATCTATGATACAAAAATTGTATAAGGCACAGATAATACCTTTTTTATTGAACAAATTAACTGTTCATTGCTATCTGTGAATTTTGGAATATTCCAGATGTTATCAATGATGCAGTTAAATTTATCATTTGTATTTCCTCTCCCAGGGTAAAGGAATTCATTTGTCAAGAGTGGCAACTCTTGGTTACCAAACTTCATTTTTTGTTTGACGCCTGGATATGAAACCTTAGTAGACATGTTCTTGAAACAAAAGCCATCTTTTATGAGGTTTTTTATCAGATTTTATTTGAGAATTACCATAAGCAACTATTGCTTCACAATCAGTTCTTATGGTGATTTCTTTTTTATTTATTAAAAATAGTTCAAAAGTTTGTAAACTATTTATAACAGCATTAACCTCATAGTCCGTTGAAGTAGAATAAACTTGAGGTTTTGTATGATATTTTCCTGAAGCATATCTACAGATTTGTTCTTCAGATATATTATCATATTTATTTTTCTTTTTCTTTAGGACAGCTCCCCATCCTAATTCACATCCATCACATTCAATAACTAAGTAGTCTGAATCTAATGGTAATGATAAAGAAGGTAGATTTTTTACCAAATCTTTAATTTGTCTGACCAATTTTATATCTTCTGAATTGAATTTTCTTTGGTCTGTTTGACTTGTTTTATTATACAAAAGAGATGTATATTTACCCAAGTCTTTTATGAAATTCCTTGCATAATTTAATAATCCTAAGAAGGCTCTTAGGGTTTTTATATCTTCCATTTTATCAGGAAAAGCAAGAATTTTTTGCGAAATATGGGGCTGGAGTTTTATTGTTTCATTCCCTATTTCTGATCCTAAAAAGGATATATGAGTCTTACAAATTTCCATTTTAGATTTTGAAATTATAAGACCATATTTTTCAAACAAATGTAAGACTTGTTTTAAATGAAGAAAATGTTCTTCTTTTGTTTTT